GACGATCAATGGAATACTACTGTGAAAAATGAGCCTGAAGCGGGGGTGCCGATTTTTATTTATTTTAAAATCATTTAAATTGACGAGGAAAATATTGTCGCGCGTGTTCTTACTTTTCTTTTATAGATCTATATATGTTTTAGACACATAGCAATACTATATCGCCTCTTTGTTTGAGGTTTAGTTTGACAGTCAACTTCAACTGAGAGTGGCAATAATCAGCTTAGAGGCTCTTTTTGAAGAATCATTCGTCATTTGCCAAAGCGTTGTGAATTCAGTAGCATTGAGCGCCCTGGCAACATAAAATGCTTGTATCTCAAGTCAGCAAAAATAAAATAAAATAAAAATCAGCCGAGATGGCTCATATCTTGAAAAAGTCAAGTCATTCGTATCTCCTGTGTTGATAATCATTAAATAATAATTTCTGGAACAATTCGGTGAAGTTGGATAATTCCCAGCACCATCTCTGATCGTTACTCAAGTGCGATTCCATCCTGATTGGAAATCACTCATCAATTTTCAATTGTCCATTTCCCAGTCATCTCGAGTCAGCTGTCATTCCAAACAAGTCCAATTCTTGCAGAAAACAACAGCAATCAGCATACGGCCGCCTACGGCCGCGGAATGCTTTCAGTCTGCATCTTTGCAAAAGACTTTAGCTCTCACTATTAATAAGCTGAGTCCAATAATGAGATGCTATTTTAAATGTGCCGACAGGAAATGGACTGCCCTTTTGTCACCGCGTTCAAGAGCGCCCCTCATCTCTGAATGTTAAGCAAATTCATAAAAGGAAGGTATGTGTGTGTGTGTGTGTGTGTTGGGTGGGGGTGAATAATTAAAGGCTAAAAGCTCTTTATCTCAGCAGAATGGGGAAACGCTCTTGTTTGGGCTCTCCAATGTGAGGCAAGAGGCAAGGCTGCTTTATTATCACCGAGGAACAAAAGTCACATGGACCTGCGTGGGCACATTTTCTCTCTTTGATTCTCCTCGGCAGGCTTTCATTCCCCCAAATGAGCCAATCAGGTGTCTCTTGCCTTGACATGCTCCGCGCTCAGCACTTCTCCTTCTTTGGTGTCGACCGGAGCTCCTGACTAGTTTCCGAGGAGCATGGAGCCAGATCGCCGAAGCGCATTTAATGAGCAGGTCCGCCGGGCTGTTTGTGCTCATCGCAATCATCCATCAGTGTAAATCTCCTTGAATGAGAGCGAAGTCTTTCAGGCCGCCGACATGAAGATGTTTATGTTTCAACGCCCCCCCCCACCCCCCCCACCCAACAATCTGCCACTCAATTCTTGCTGTAGCGTGATGGATACTTTGGTAATGCTTCATCTTAAAGGACATGCCACTGTAGTGAGCACATCACTCATGTCGTTATGAAGCCAGCAGAGAGGGACACATGAATCATGTTTCATGTACAATCGCCATTGCTGTCAGATACCAGACGCATGTTAGCGGGGCACAGGCCGCGGTGGTCCCCCTAATTCACAGCTCGACACAAAAACACAAAAACCTTTTCACAATGCGTCGATTTCTTTAGCGCCGCTTGCCAAGGCTGAATCGCTCTTTCCTTTCCTCCTGGCTGATTGCCGTCAGGAGATTAAATGTTCGGCTGAAATCGTCTCGGCTTTTGAAAGGAGTCATGGCAGAGTCTGATTTTTGTGGGCTCGGATTCGCGTGCAAGAGAAAACCAGACAACGTGCAGGGAAATCGCAGGCTAATGTGCGGAAAAATTGGTCTCGTTTCGAACTCGAGCGACGATGCCTTTCAAATAAATTCAAATGGTGGTGGGAAAAGTCCAAACAGGGATTGTCCTGTGTGGGACAGGGATCTATTTGTTCTTTTGACTTTTGAGTTTGCGTAGGTGTCCTCCTGCAAGCCGCATTGAAAAGCGCTCATCCACGAAGCTCACTTCAGTTTTGCTGGCAGCTTATTCCATTTCCGTGCAGCATAACAACTAAATGCTGCTTCACCATGTTTACTTTGAACTTTTGGATTGCCCGCAGACCTCGGAGCCCTTACTGGGTTTATACTCATTTTGCTTTCATGTATTCAAGACTCAAACCATTCAGTGATTTAGAGACCAGTAGCACTATTTTAAAATCAATTCCGCAAACCTCAGACCCTGTTAGCTTGATGACCTAGTTCCAATAGCTGAGTGGGTGGGAAAAAAAAAAAAAACGCATCGAACACCGATATGACCTTCAACTCCCGCAAACCACCATTAGCAGATGTAATTCCAAATCAATAGAGTTCTTGCTGTGGTAGAACGAAACGTGCCCCGAAACTTTGAAGAGCAGATTGTTGGACAGCTGGAAGTCATCACACTCATTAAAAATGTCGACATCCATATGACCTGTCATCTGTTTTTTGTTTTTTTGTTTTTTTTTTCAACTCTCTCCAAATCAATCAAAAGCGTGAAATGGAGAAACCTCACGGTAGCGTTCTTCTGGGAGTGAAAATGAGCTCCATCAAGGAAGCTTTTGTTTGTAGATTTTTCTTTCCTTCTGGCCGGGGTTCAGACACTGTTGGCATCACCGTTGTAGCGGTGACTAAACAAAAACTCTGCCAATTTCTGCGCAGCGTAGAGAGTGCACTTTTAGTTAATGGGTGGCGCTCGGCTGCTGTGTCACCTCGACGTGACGCTTCGTCTCCTTACCGTGCCTTGTTTTCGTGGGTGGAGAAAAATCACAAACTATTGCAGGTGGGGAGGAAAAGATGACCTTTTCTTCTCATTATTCTCTCCTATTGTAGATTTTTTTTTTTATTTTTTTTTTTTTATGTGTTTGTTCCGGATCAACATAGAGTACAACTCCCCCCGGGATACGTTACTGTGAACAGTGCACTGCAGTCTTTCAGCTGTGGAGTCTTTTTCTATCCTGCAGCTTGAAAGACATTGGGCATAATGAACTAAAGTTTTGCGTGTGAATAAATGGGCGCAAACAGATACAGAAGCGATGTTAATGTTTTTGAAATGCTAGAAACAGCAATGATCATGACATATACATTCTCGTCTCTCTTGCAATTTTGGGGCACCATTATTCATTTTCCCCTCCCAAAATTCATTTTAATTATTTTTTTTTTTCAACCCCACCCAAATTCTGAAAAAATATGTATTCCACAAGAAACAGCCGGAATGGGGGTAACAATCCCAGGAAAAATCCAAAATATGTAAAAAAAAAAAAAAAAAAAAGAAAATATGACAATCCGTGGGTACCAAACTGAATTTGTCGGGGCTGGCTGTCGATCAAAGTTGCAATATCGCCAATCAACACTAGATGGCAGATATGTCTAAGTTGTGCTTATATGCAAAGTCATTATCCTAATAATTTTATTTGCGTATTTTGAATGTTATGAATTTTGATTGAGTGTATTTTTGTTGAAAAAAAATGTATACAATGAGTTCTTACACTTAATGTATGTTTCGTGTTGAGCAACTTGGTGCCATCCTTGAATGATCATTTTTGTGCGAGAGCTCTTTCTCCTAAAAAAAAAAATAAAAAATAGCAATACAGTCTGTGGTTATTTTATTGTTTGCTTCAAACCATTTGTTGTTGGGTTAGTGGATGTTGCATATGTGCATTGGAATATGTATTGTCAAAAATTGTGAGACATCATTCCAACAATGTCTAAAAATGAATATCAATTATTAACAACACATATTAGAAATTAATTTTTATTTGTTTTTTTTTTTTGTTTGTTTTTTTATCCCCAGACACAAATTGGTAGCCCTTTGCACTAATCAGTAGCCAAGAAGTAGCTCTCACTTTCAAAAAGGTTGATGACACCTTTGGGAAGCCGGTATCTCATCAGAATCCCGTCCCAACAACAACAACAAAAAAAAAAATCCCCCCATCTGTGTGTGTTTAATGTTGACATTGATACGTATTGTAAATGAGCTGCAAAGTGAGTCATGCAAAAATGAAGCAACGTGCTTATTGCTCTACTCGGGAAGGGGGAACTCATTGTATTTTAGGAGATGGGATGCAATGAACATTTGCCAGCAAGCGTGGCTCTGCATAGTGTGTGGCAGGTGTGTTGTGACTGCATTTAGCCTCCAGCGTCTATGTGTCATTGGGGGGAAATAGATAAAGTAATTTGCGCTGTCGGGGAATGTAGAAAGAAAGCAGCAACATAAATCAAGAGGTGTGCGGCCTTTCAAGTGACACTGGCGAAAAAAAAAAAAGGAGGAACTTTTCTTGACTCGGCTAATGAGCAACAACCTACTGTGGATTTTTATTTATGTGCTTCCAGCAAGCCGAGGGTTGACAAGTAAACCTTCTTTTTTTTTTTTTTTTGAAGATGAATTTCTTACACAATGCCTTCCAGACATAAACAGAACCTTGTAATATTCACTGCGCGTGTTTCACAGAGCTGCAGTTTTATACACCACATTAGCCGCGTTGCTTCGTTAAATTGGTTTGGCACTTTTTGCAGGCTCCTGCAAACAAACATACCTTGAAGTATGGTAACAATGCTATTACTTTTTTTTTTTTTTTGTAAGAATGGCTAAACAAAATTGCTCAAGATAATTGGTCTCTAGTTTCTTTTTTCTGATAATGTGCCTGTGACATTTACATAGTACCTCCCCCCCTTGTTTTCACTCCTAGTTTCTCCACCCATGACATGATCCGGTGGCTTGGGTGAAGATCCAGAGCTACTTTCAAGCGAGAGCTGAAGGTCACTTGAGGGCGCTATCTGAAACACCAACATTTCGAAACACCCACATTCTCCATCCGTGGGATGCCACTGCTGTCCCGTCAAAGCAAAAAGGTAAGCAGAGCTGCATTCTGCTTTTTTTGGGGGGGCACATATTAGTGTTAGCTAACATCAGTGTTAGCTTAGTGCCAAATACTCTTACGCATTTTAACGCTATAAATGTGGGTCACTCTTTTGAAAACGTGTGGTGGCAAAAAGCAAAAGAAAAAGTTCCAGCCCGTCCCACTGCACCTAAATGTAATGTAACTAGTTGCCATGCGGACTCCAAATCATGATGCTGATCCTTACTGTGCACCTTTAACTTTATTTCACAGTACTTTGTCTGAAAGCAGATTACATAGTATTAAGAAAAACAAAAAAAAAAAGAAAAAAAAACCCAAACACATTATTGTGCTCTTGTTTGTTTTTGATGCACTTGAACAACTGTTTCTCTCTAAAGGTTTTTTTTTGTCACCACTTCAAACTCTTTATAATACACAAGTGCTACAATATGCAGTAGAAAAAAACACATTGCTAAGTAGCTAAATGAACTAATAGTCTCCTGTTGCTCTCATTATATACCGAAATGCTTTTTTTTAATCATTAAAAAAAAAAGACACAAAAAAAAACCCCGTCATTAAACAGTATCAACGCTTGAAATGAAACAAAGGAAATTTACACTTGTACACAAGATATCTCAAAAATTCTTAAGGCGTTTGAAATATTAAGTCAGGCTAACACATCACCAGGTGTTTACGGGTCGGAACCATGTCGGGCTCATGGATAATTCATTTCACACAAATGGCTAAAGCACATACAAACAGAACATTGACTGAACCATTGATTGCATTCCTCGTGCCCACACTTGCGTGCGCTTAAATTATTCATCCCCCTGGTCATTCATTCCAAAGTGTTGATTTTCTCTCAAAATATATGCACTCTCACAAACACGCAAGACTTGATTTAAAAGTTAAATTTCACATCCTTACAGATGGGGAGTCATTTTAATTAATTTATAAAGACAGAAACTTAAAAAAAAACAAAACAAAAAAACCTAAGACGGTCCAAAATGACCCAGTTGTTGACAAACGTTGAGTGGTCATGATGCGCATCACCCAAATTCTTTTGTGTAGCTGAGGAGTGATATGAAGCCGAACTAAACGATGGTGTCACCAAGCTGACATTCATTTATGTATTGCTCATTCATAAATATACAACGAATCCCGCGCCGATGAGCCCTCGTGGATACGAGCTCTGTAAACATCCTTTTGACGTGTTAAGTCTTCAAATTTACTGCCCAAAATTCATAATATACAAATTCACAGCCAGTAAGTCAGAGAGTCTTTTTTTTTTTTCTTTCCTTCACATTCTCAAGTGTTAACTCTTGCGTGTTGATCATCGTTCATCCGGTAAGTAATGTTCGCAATATACAAAAAGACGTAACAGCCTTGCAGCTTAATCAAATGTAGACGAACCCTCTCAGCGAGCGACAAGGCCCAACAAAGTTATCCCCCCCGGATTTATCACGCCGGAGCATTATAGTACATTGGAAGCAAGGAAAACAAAACACTTGTTCATTGCCATGAATAAATACTTTCGGTAAAATAGACATAAAAGCTGCCATCGACACGTCAGAGTTTTTATATGTTACATTCATCCATCAGGCTCGGTGTAGCAGGGAAAATGCTTTTGCAGTCCTTCCGCTTCCTCTTGAAATATGATCATTTCATCTTCCAAACACGTACGCAGCTATTGGATCCCCCGCTGCCCCCCTTCCCCCCACTATCTCAATATGATTTCCAGGAGCAACTGATTGAAAATATATATTTTTTTTTTGGAAAAAAAAAATGCTCGTACACTTCCCAGACCGTGCAGGAATATTGTAAACAATTTTTTTTCTACTTTGGTCATAAAATTAGAAATGCCTGACGAATGACAACTTCATACATGAAATGTCTTGAGACTGATAGAAACAAAATATCTTGTACAAATACTTTGAAGTGGCTGAAAGGAAACAAGAAAAATGAACAAAATTCCTTTTGTGTGTAATTAATTGGGACACGCTTTTCCTTAGTGCGCCTGTACGACTTTAATCCTGATCCCTCCAATGAGTCGCCTGCAAAAAAAGTGTACAGGTAAAAATGTCCAAATCTGTACATAGTTTATGTAAGATATAAACTAAATATATGCAGCATTAAAAAACAAAAAATAAGAGTCCAGATCAACAAAATATTGAGGTTTCAGTGAACATCGTTCCATAGAGTAGTTTCATATTACACAACAGCAAATCCACTTTCACAGGACTTGGCCATGCGATACCCAAAAACCGATAATCCAATGTAACATACATAATATTATTTTGCAGTATATTTTCTCATTAATAGATTAAAATTTTCCCACTCCATGAATTCTTTACACAATATGACAAATATTATAAACAATGCCACCCCCCCCCCTCCCCTCCCTCCCCGCTCACAGTCAAAAGAGGATGCGATACATGTGTGATTTTGAGCGTGATAGAATCCGTTGATCGAAAGTCCAGTGAGGTTCTGCAAGGTGTGGTCCATGTAAAAACAAACAAAAACCTAAGGAGATTACGATTTATGTTGGGCTGACACACCTTTCCAGTAGTCCAAAATATCATGCAGGTCCTCATCCTTGGCAAATTGCACCTTCTTACGGAGCGCGTGGCCCGCCGCCATGTATTCGTCATCTTTGTGGCGTTTCCGGTGGAGTTTGAATCGCTCCCAGATGCTGTGCGAAGGTTTGCAGTAATACTCTGGACTGGAAGAGTAGCTCAGGTTGTGGTACTGAGCTGGCAGCTGTGAATAAGCCAAGTCTCTGGAGCGGGGGTGCGAGAAAGGCTCCAGCATGGGCGACTTGATGCCGTCGGGTCCCTCCAGCTCCTCGATCTGAGTTTCGGGATAGGAGTGGCGGTGGTCGCCGTACTGACGGATCTTCTCGGCCTCGGCCCTCAGGATGGTGGCGGCGGGTGTCACTGTGAGGATGGTGTCCCCCGTCGGGGACGTTTTCTCAATGTACCTGGATTCGGTACGGTAAGGCCGGGGACTTCGCATTCCTGAGGCTGTGCTGGGCCTTTTAGGCGAGGCGTCCGAGGACCGATGTCTCTGCAGGGAATGGTGGTAGCTGTCCTTGTACGGAGGCGCCAGGAGGCCCGATTTGTTCTGCGGCTGCTCGGATATGAGCACCAGCTGAGGCTCGGCATTAGAAACGGCTCCAGATCTTACCCCCTGATAAGAAGTGGAGTCTGTCTTGAGAGCATCAATGCAGTTGTTAATGATCTGGTTGACTTTATCAACCTCCTTCGCGATGGTAGAAATCTCCGCCACGGAGCCCTTGCTATTTGCTGCCATTCCCATGTCGCACTCCCTGCGCTCGTGGTGGTCCAGACTTCGCACCTCCATGTAACTGCCCTTCATGATTTTGGGAGTCTCACTGATTTCTTGAAATTTGTACTGATCCATTTCACTGGCAGGCGGTAGGTAGGGCATACGGGCCATGCTCTCCCCAGTCAGCAGCTGTTTCTGGGACATGCGGGAAACAGTCCCACCCTCCAGTTCTTGTCCATATTTCAATTCCATGATGTTTTTCTTCAGGCTCCCCGCCTTTTTGTGCTTTTCGTCTTGCTGGCGCTTCCGCCGCAAGCCGTAATAAACCATCCCGAGAAAGATGACCATGCTGAAGAGGCAGGCCAAAATGGTCACGATGTAATGAGTGGTAGTCGCGCTGCCGGCGTCCCTCGACTTCCCCTTCCAGGGTCCGGTGGTGATCGTCAGACAGGTGTGGTTGTGTCTCAGGGAGTTCCGAATGGAAACGACGCAGTATGTGTAGTTGGTGTGAGGTTTGAGGTTCTTCAGCTCAACGTCCTCCTTGAATTCTTTCAGGTTTTGAATGTCGGTAAAAAAGCTGTTGTTGTACAGAACCAGGATGTACATCTTTTTGTAAGGATAAGGGATCTGAACCGTGACGGTGGCGCCCGTATTGGACACTTGCTTCAGCTTCATCAGCGGGTTTGCTTCCACTTCGTTGTTGGTTGTACTGATGTTGTTGGTGATGATGTCCTCAGGCTCGGTCCCCGATGGACAGTCCTCGAGCCCACAAAGGGTGAAGTCCGGCGGGGGTGTTGTGGGCTCCATTGGCAATGGAAAAAATGGTGTGACGTAGTCGTCGGTGCACACGGTGGTGAGCATGTGAAGGGCATTTTTATAGGTGGGATTGTTCGGGTTCTGACTTAGAAGGCTGTAACCGGACACGCCGCTCGGGGAGTCGCAGACCATCCGCTCATTTGTCCTGTTGGGGAAAATCGAGAGCCACTTGACAAAACCGAGCAGTTCACAGGAGCAGTTGAACGGATTTGTGTACAGCTCACAGGTGGTCAGCTTAGTCAGACTGGTGAAGGTGGAGCCGTCCAACTGCTGGATGCGGTTCATGGACAAGTCGATGTTCTCAATGTTGGGACATTCCCAAAAGGCATTGGGTGTCACAGTCTCAATCAGGTTCGCCTGGAGGTAGAGGTACTGCAGCTTTCCAAGACCCCTGAGGATCCCCTCTGTTAAGTTGCGCAACTTGTTGAAGCCCATTTGAAGAACTTGCAAGTTAAATTGAGCTGAAAAGGCCCCGTCCTCGATGTAAGAGATTTCATTCTTGGTCAGGTTCAGGTAGGTCAGGTTGGCAAAGCGACTGAGGGCAGAGTACTGAATACTTTTAATCTTGTTTTCATTCATACGAAGGTCCACAATGGTGCTGTTGATGTGCTGCGGGATGGCCTCGTACGGTGGTTGATTTTGGCTACAGATCGCGAGCCACACAAAGCCCTTTTCGCCCTCGATTAACCAGCAGTCTCCGCTGACTTGACCCACGTGGGTCAAATAAACAATGGCTGCCGACCAAAGCAGCGCGCTGCTCGCCATCCGTGCCTCCCTTCGAGTCATGTCTAGGGAACCCAAAAAAATGCCAACAAAGAGAAGTTCACGTTGCTACGGTTTCAATTCAGCTGGAGCAATCTTGTTTTCAGGACCAGAGCGAGTCCGTTCAGCCGTCGCCTCGTCATGGATGGAGTCGCGTTCATTTAGAATTGGAGACGGTGTACTTGTGAGGATTTTCACCATCAAAGGTCTCATTTTCGTGTTTGGCCAACATTCTTCTCCTTTGGGTCACTTTCATCCGAATGGAGGAGAAACCTGCAACACAGAGATATTGAAACGTCAATTAATCATCATGATGACAAATACGCGTCTATCTATAGCTTTGTGCTCCGTCGTCCGTATCTGCTTTGCTTGATCATGCTCCAGCAGTTCTTCCTTAACATTGTTATGTGTGGCAGACCTATTAAAAGAAACTATTGGCCAATTACCACTTGACAGTTTGGGGAAAGGCAAAGTCCCAGTTGTCTGGCCATTAACCTGCACGCTGTCAGATGCAGGGTGGCCGGCGTTTAGATGCCGCATTCAATCAATTATATCGCACGGTGTGCAACGGCGCGCTGGATCAATGCGTTTAGGGTTTCCATCTGACAAGCTCAATGCATAAAAACACTTATTTGCGTGCACGGGCTTATCCCGGAAGAAAAGAAGGATATTGTGTACAAGGCGGGGGTACTGGTGGCTTGCGCGAGATGGAGTCTTTTGCAAACCAAATGACCAAAATGGCCCCGGAATGGATTTAATTCTCTTCAAATGAATTGTTTCCGCACAGTATTTGCTTTCAAAGTTTTTCTTTTTTCAGCTCATTAATGTCTTCGGTGAACTTGTTTGTTATGGCGCAAATATAGCGTAGTTCATATTACAAAACACTGAACAGATTACCCACAAAAAAGTAATAAATAAATTCATCAAATCAAATCAAATAAAAATTAAAATTAAAAAAAATCTTGAAGAATGCACTTATTTACCAATGCAAGGCGAGTAATTTTATTCTGTTAACCTTCATAGGCTGAACTGAAACTGACACTTGGAAATGTTTCAAAGCAGTTTGTTCATTCGTTGTCACGATTAAAGCAAACATGTCATCTGAAGAGCGCTGGGTGCTGTCACGAGCATAGACGTTGGACTACATTTCATTGATTGACTGTGCATTTCATTTCTATATCTCTCAGTATTGATTTTAGTAGGATGGGACAAACTCTCCAAATCTTCAAATTTCCGACTTTCTTTCCCACGGAATAATGCTGCCCGCCCCGTTTTTTTTCGCCGTCGCCCGAATTACTGCTCAGTGTTCCACAGCTGATGCCATTTTGGACTTCTGTAGACAGAAAATGTGTTGAGATGGAATTTGCCTCCGCGGACAGCCAGCAGTCATTGATTATTCTGCGTAGCATTGACAGCAATTCAATCAAGGATGAGTCATGTGGGGTTTATCCTGAAACTGACAACTGATGCGGGTCATTAAAAGAGGTGACAACACATTAACCGATGAGCGGTTTGCAATGACTTGTAAATTGCATCATATGGATTCTTCCCTCACCCCGGGTAAAAATCATTCTCTCATTTGTGTTTTGATTTTACCTTTGCTTTGCATCAGCAGACCACTCTTTCAAGCTGCCATGACTTTATTGAACAGTTCATGGAGTCAAAATACCCCAATGAGGTGCTGTATGGTTCGACCATGCATGCAGGGGTGAGATAACCGATTGATTTTTTTTTCCATGTATTGGGAGGAAATGTTTGCTTTGGATTTTATTGACTTGAAGTAATGGAAGATAATAAAACACGGCTTTGTAGGAAAGATGTTACCCCCAAGCAAATGCTTTGGATTCAAACTACATTAGAACTCAAATTCTTTTAACCCTTTCAGGGATAGCGGTTACTGCAGTGGACAGCTTATCATGTTATCAGGATAAGCTATCATTGTTGGTGCATGAAAGGGTTAATTCAGGTGACCAGGGTGACCCGGTGGTCGACTGATTAGCACGTCAGCCTCACAGTGCAGAGGTGTCGGGTTTGATTCCGGCTCGGGCCTTCCTGTGTGGAGTTTTCATGTTCTCTCTCTGCCTGCGTGGGTTTTCTCTGGGTACTCCGTTTTCCTCCCACATTCCAAAAACATGCATGGCAGGTTAACGAAGCACTCTAAATTGTGCCTCGGTGTAAATGTGAGCGCGTATGTTTGTTCATCTTCGTGTGCCCTGGGATTGGCTAGCAACTGGTTCAGGGTGTCCCCGCCTATTGCCCGAAGATGGCTGGGATAGGCTCCAGCACCCACCGCGACCCCTATGACGATTAGCAGATTAGAAAATGGATGGATGGATGGATGGATGATTGTCTGGAGCTCTCAGGTTACTTGAACTTATTTTTTTTTCTTTGAATGCTAAAGAGGAGACAATTATTTTCAATGCTTTCAGTCAGTGACAAGCCGACTAACCAAAAGGAACTTAAAGAAAAAGGATTTATCTGTTTGGATTGTTTGTCAATATGTGTCCAACAATTGGCTGGAGAGCAGATAGATGGATGGTTACCATCTATCGGCATTAGTTACCTCAGTTAAGCTCAATAAGAGGATGAAAATATTACAGCTCTTAGTTTGATAGACATTTCTATATTAGTACCTGCCTGATAGTGTCCATCAAATTTTTTTTGAGAGGGTGGGGGGGGGAATATTCTTGGGGTTTTCTTGAAAAAAAAAAAAAAAGTGATGAAGCACATCCACGTGGGGGTTGGGGGGGGGTAGTTTGCTTTTCTGCGTTAAAGGACGCGCATCCACACAGTAGAGCTAATGGCTCCCTCAGAGGAGAGTCGACATGAGAGCCAAGTTGAATGCCACCTCTGCTGTCACTTAACTTTTTTTTTTTTTTTTTTTGTCCATGTTGTGTAGTGACGACAATACGCAGCCGCAAATGCGTCCGAGCAGAATGTTCCACAGGAAAGAGACTGGCACCGCTTTTCTATAAATGTCTTTCATTGAAAGGGTTGTAATGACCTGAGTGGGCTGTGTTTTGTACTCTAATACAACTGCGAGTTTGACATTTGTACTTCAAATGACCATCGGTGAATTGCTGTGGCATTTGGTTTCAAGCGAATGCATTACGGCTCAAACTAAATGAGGATGCAGCGCGGTAGAATTATGTTTGGTGGAATTTCCGATTCAATATTGTTCCGCAAAGAAGATACGCTGGATCGTTGGCGTGATTATCTGAAGCTTAGCCCTGTGTTTCACACAGATTGCAGTTGGCCTTGGGGGAGAGATTATTAATTAATATATATATATTTTTTAATATATGATTAGGTATAGCTTCGGCTTTTCATTGATGACTTAAAAAAAAAAAAAAACATAATAGGGGCAAATATCCCCCCCCCACTACCCCTTTTTGAGGGGGGGGGAATACAAAGCAGCAAACTCCAAAGTGATTTTTCCTATAGATCACTTAACCTGAACGAATCTGTTGCCCACCAGTTGGCCACCCTCAACTAATACACCCTTTTTTCTTATCTGTAGAATGCTTATGTGCAATTTGAATAGCTTAAGTGAGGTCACAATTTCCTCTGGCTCCAAAGACACCAAATGTCAAAAAGCGCAAAGCTCCGATTATGTAAAAGGTGACAGCAGATTGTCCCCACTGCTGTCTACAGACTCTCATTTTCTATCAAAGCTGTCATCTGTTTTCCTGCCAATATATTTCCGAGAAAATTATTCAGATTTTTAGAATTCACATCTGGTCGGGCTCTTCTTCAAGGCTGTCACTTTATTTTCTAAACCTCGGCTGGTGCACCCAACAAATGGGTTCAAGCGCACTTCTATGTTTACGAAATATTTGGCGTTGAGATGTACAAATAAACGAGGTGGTCATCCGCACGGATGGAAATAGGCTGGTTACTGGCGGACAAGAATGCCCAAGGCTGCCATTCGAAAACACCTTCAGGATGACAAAAGAGCAACAACGGAGAAGAAATGATGAGAAAAAAAAGAACGCTCGCAAAGCCCCGGAGGGGTGACATCGGGTTCAAATCAAATGTTCCATGAAATGAGTATGAAAAATAGAACTCTGTAGAAGAACTGGCAAGGCAAAACATCTCTGATGGGGGGGAGCGGCTTCTTGTTATTAACGGCGAGTCTGCGACCTTTCGCGCAAATAGAGAGCGAATGGGCGGAGGCGACGCTCCGGCGAGATCTTTCAAGTTGGACCTGAGATGTTAACTCGAGAATGTGTTTCTGGCTCCGCGACCGAGTCGGTGCTCGTCCATTTCAAGCCGAGCGTCAGTTACGCTCGACTTCCTCATGAGAGTGACTAGCCTATATTGTTCCGAACAAAACAATTATTTTTTTTAGTTCAATCTGTCATCGCCTCACCTTTTTAATGCAAATGTCAAAGTTTTTGAAAAACAAAGTTTCTTCAATCCAACCCCCCCCCCCCTCCCAATTTTGCCCTTTGCAAATGTTCTCGGCATAGTCGCGCAGCTTCAGTTTTGACTACTTGACATGCTTGCGTAAAAAAAATTAAATAAAATCTTTGCTTACCGTGTTCCCTTTTACTTATTATCCATCCATCCGTTTTCTCATCCGCTTTATCATCACAAGGGCCGCGGGGGGTGCTGGAGCCTATCCCAGCTGTCTTAGGGCAGCAGGCAGGGGACACCCTGAGCCGGTTGCCAGCCAATCAGAAGTCAAGAATAATGACTGTTATTGTGGATTACATATGACAATTTAAAATTTTGGTTCAGACTTTTGCAAGGATCATGGAATTTGACATGCTTGATTTGCTTTCGCCGGGCAAAGAAAATGATGTGGCGGGCCCGTTCTGGCCCCCGGGCCTTGACTTTGACACCTGTGATTTTGATTGTTCAATCAGCCTGCCATGCATGTTTTGGGAATGTGGGAGGAAACCGGAATACCCGGAGAAAACCCACGCAGGCCCGGGCAGAACATGCAAACTTCACACAGGAATCCTGGAGCCGAGATCAAACCCACGACCTCTGCACTGTGAGGTCGACGCGCCAACGACTGGACCATCAGGCCACTATTTATTATTTATTTTATTTTATTTGTTATTTTTAGCTGAAAATGAATCTCCAGACATGGGAAGGAATACTTCTCCAGTACCCCCCCCCCGCACCCCCTTACCTCAACACCCCCACCCCAGCCCCAAGTACACTTTCTAAAGAACACATGGACGGCAAAAGCCTGTAAGCAGGAAAAAAAAACATTCAACAAAGCCACTAAAGCTAATGGAAGTGCCTTCGTGTCATGCGCA